CCTCCTCCCATAACATGTGCAAGCAGCATTTTGTCTACTATGAAAGAAAGCACAGAAACGTCCTTGTACAGCTACATTTGGAGAGAAAAAAAATGACGAGATGTGCATTTTTCATGCTTTCTATCACAGATATATATATAGCTGAGGTAAATGTATAATTAGCCAGGTTACAAAGCTCTGCAGGTTCAGTCATAAATAGGTGGCATCAGTATCACAGCATAGAGCTGAAAAAACGCATCTGTGCGTCAGTTATGTCATATTTCAAGACGTTGGAACACATTTATTAAAGGGATTTCTAACTGCATTACTACTGTAACATCACGTGCATGCTCAGCACATATGAAAAAGGTGCATCTCTATGAAATCAGAAAACAGTTAGTAGTACACCATCAAGGAGCATTGTTCTAATGGTGAAAGCAATTTCACTGGTGCCATTTATAGAGTCATAATTTTTCTTTGATTCATTACATTTTTTTTAAAAAGGAAATAGAATCCAACAAAGTAGCGTCGTCCTTGCGCTTCTATTTTATAGCAGGAATGTCGAGGGTCCAGGAAGCACATGTAACATCTTCAAGAGTTGCTTTAATCGCAAATGAGTTCCTCCCCGGAGACTGTTGATTCCTCAGGCCCTTTTTGAAGCCACATCAGAGGAAATTGGTGGGGGTGCTCTACCGCTACAAGCAGGGACTCTGAAGACTTCACAACACTGACACACAGTTTATCTATATCAAAGGCATTTCCAATTTTGAGAACAGAAAAAAAAGAAGAAGAAAAAAAAAAGAAAGTTGCTCGGAAGTTTTTTTTGCTTGAAGTAGAGACTAAGCTACCTGGCACGATTGCTGAGCAGTGATTATTATCAACACACACTCTTATCACTGTTTTTACATCTATTATTCAGCTTGTTGCGATAAGATAAAGCGATTAATGTGGCTACACTACAAGAGTCATAGAGTCAATTGAGCTTTTCAGGGTTAGTGAGCAGAAAACCTCCATCTCGCCTAAACTTCTTTACCAGCTGTTTTAACTCTCGGTCCCTCTACGCTATATCATATTCTAGCGTGTCATATCTCTTCTTGCTGTTCCCGGCATAGACACTTGTAAATATTCAATGGCGTTTCACAGAACAAGATCTCTCTCGCCACTGCTGTCACCATCTGCGAGAGAGGGAAAGAGTAGACGGATGGAAAAAGGGCAGATTTCACCACCCCCGCCGCCACCACCTCTTTCACTGACACACAAGCTTAGACACCAGACCGTCAAGGCACGCCGCAATGTGTCCCTTTGTTCGCGTGGGAGTAATCAAAGCTTCTGTCCATCAGTTCAATATGACAATAGTGATCAACTAATGCCCTGAGTGGTCTTTTGTATTGGTTTGTGTTGTGGAGGTAGCACACACCAACATCAAAAACTGAAAAACGCCTCTTTGCTTTTTCACACTCATCACCTCTGTTTCTTATTTTTATGCTGACCCTCTGACCGACCCTGTCAGCTGAACTTCTGCTTCCTGCCATAAATGCTTACTTTGCTCCCCTGCTGCAGACGAGCGTTGCAACACATTTCACATGCAGATCTGCAGAAAAATATTCAAAAGTATGACAGCACTGCCAAGCACTGTGATAGTGATGTTACTGAGAGCAGCAAGAGGAGACATATATTTTCACCTGCACTGGGATCAAGTGTTTATGTCAGTGCATATAGACATACATTACTTTAGAATGTCCTATCATTACAAAATGATTCAGTTCTTTTTGGTGTAACACTCCCATACTCATGGTCTGTATGGAGAAGTGACCTTGTACACCAGGACACTGGGGCATCACCAGATAAATAGCTGGCACTGGATAAGAGGCACATCACATGGTCTAGCTGCCATTGCCCTGACTGTCTATCACCAGCCTGCTGCCACTGTTATTACTCAACACCATCTGTACAACATGGTAACCGATCTCTCAGCTATTATCTAGCAGTAAACAATGGAAGCCCTTACAAATGGGGGTCTTGGCATTATAGGGAGCAGCTGGACAGATGTCGCTCTGTGTTTCTGCTGAGCCTGTTGGTATGCAGTGTCCTCCACAGCCTGCAGTCTGTCACTTTAACGGCTAAACACGGGAAGGCGAGCGCTAAGAGAACTCTGGGAAATGCATGTTATACATATACAGGGAGTGCAGAATTATTAGGCAAGTTGTATTTTTGAGGAATAATTTGATTATTGAACAACAACCATGTTCTCAATGAACCCAAAAAACTCATTAATATCAAAGCTGAATGTTTTTGGAAGTAGTTTTTAGTTTGTTTTTAGTTTTAGCTATTTTAGGGGGATATCTGTGTGTGCAGGTGACTATTACTGTGCATAATTAGTAGGCAACTTAACAAAAAACAAATATATACCCATTTCAATTATTTATTTTTACCAGTGAAACCAATATAACATCTCCACATTCACAAATATACATTTCTGACATTCAAAAACAAAACAAAAAAAATCAGCGACCAATATAGCCACCTTTCTTTGCAAGGACACTCAAAAGCCTGCCATCCATGGATTCTGTCAGTGTTTTGATCTGTTCACCATCAACATTGCGTGCAGCAGCAACCACAGCCTCCCAGACACTGTTCAGAGAGGTGTACTGTTTTCCCTCCTTGTAAATCTCACATTTGATGATGGACCACAGGTTCTCAATGGGGTTCAGATCAGGTGAACGAGGTGGCCATGTCATTAGTTTTTCTTCTTTTATACCCTTTCTTGCCAGCCACACTGTGGAGTACTTGGACGCGTGTGATGGAGCATTGTCCTGCATGAAAATCATGTTTTTCTTGAAGGATGCAGACTTCTTCCTGTACCACTGCTTGAAGAAGGTGTCTTCCAGAAACTGGCAGTATGACTGGGAGTTGAGCTTGACTCCATCCTCAACCCGAAAAGGCCCCACAAGCTCATCTTTGATGATACCAGCCCAAACCAGTACTCCACCTCCACCTTGCTGGCGTCTGAGTCGGACTGGAGCTCTCTGCCCTTTACCAATCCAGCCACGGGCCCATCCATCTGGCCCATCAAGACTCACTCTCATTTCATCAGTCCATAAAACCTTAGAAAAATCAGTCTTGAGATATTTCTTGGCCCAGTCTTGACGTTTCAGCTTGTGTGTCTTGTTCAGTGGTGGTCGTCTTTCAGCCTTTCTTACCTTGGCCATGTCTCTGAGTATTGCACACCTTGTGCTTTTGGGCACTCCAGTGATGTTGCAGCTCTGAAATATGGCCAAACTGGTGGCAAGTGGCATCTTGGCAGCTGCACGCTTGACTTTTCTCAGTTCATGGGCAGTTATTTTGCGCCTTGGTTTTTCCACACGCTTCTTGCGACCCTGTTGACTATTTTGAATAAAACGCTTGATTGTTCGATGATCACGCTTCAGAAGCTTTGCAATTTTGAGACTGCTGCATCCCTCTGCGAGATATCTCACTATTTTTGACTTTTCTGAGCCTGTCAAGTCCTTCTTTTGACCCATTTTGCCAAAGGAAAGGAAGTTGCCTAATAATTATGCACACCTGATATAGGGTGTTGATGTCATTAGACCACACCCCTTCTCATTACAGAGATGCACATCACCTAATATGCTTAATTGGTAGTAGGCTTTCGAGCCTATACAGCTTGGAGTAAGACAACATGCATGAAGAGGATGATGTGGACAAAATACTCATTTGCCTAATAATTCTGCACTCCCTGTATACGTGTACACTGATATGGCCTCCTGTTGTGCATTGACCTGCCCGGCGATGGTGTACATCTTTAGTTCATTACACACTTACAGATTATTGCCAAATGTAAATCTGTAGTGTTGTGCGCTACATCATGTGGAAGATTACATATTGGGAATGATGCGGGAACATTGAGGCTAGGCATGGTATTTTATGAGCAAAAAATAAATAAATTCAAAAACAGTCGCCAACTTAGAAAAGTTACCTGTTTTATTTAATTCAAATTATTTTAATCAAAATATTAAAATACAGGTCAGGTCTAATTTGAATGTCAATATTAAGCTTGAAAGGACACTCCTGTATTAAATATTATACCTATATAAAGTCTACGCCTTAGAAATAACACATTATTATTTATTTATTTTTAAAGATGATGTGTTATGCTTTTTCTGAAATGTTTTTCCTTTATATAAGGTGGGGTGACTGTGGCTCAGGATGTAGACCAGGTCAGAAATTAATCGTGAAGGTTGGGAGTTTGATTCCCTGCTCCCATGCATGCCAAAGGCAATGTGAGTTGAGTGTGTGTGCAAATGGGTGAATGAGACATAAAGAAAGCACTTTTAATGCTCAAATTGAGTAGAAACTTGCTATACAAGAACCAGTAAATTTACCAATGTTACAATGGTACATGCTCACAGATCGATTCAAATATCGATAGTATCAATACCAATGCTAATATTGCTAGTATCGGATCGATACTACGAGATGATAGGATTGATGCTTTGTTTCTATCGTCTAAGTTAGCTGCCTTTATAGGTTGAAGTACTAGTACTTGCACTGGTATCAACATCAGCAAATCAGAAGAATGTTGGCTTAAAAGCAAGGAGCTAAGAAATGGCTCTTTCAGACAAAGGATGAACTGGAGGTTTACACCAAACCTCGTGCAAAATAAAATAAGGATTGTTTTCAACTGCAATCCAAGAATAAAAATATAAAATTTTAAAATGATCATATTTAGCTGATTATTTGAAAACAAGCCTGCTGTCAGTACCCCTGCTCTATTCTGTCTTTCAAGACTGCAGTCTTTGTATTGTCCTAGTGTAAAATGGCTCTCTCTGTGTATGTATTTCGTATTAGTTAACCTTTATTTCAACACTGACATGACTCACAGATGAAACTAATCAGCACCTCTCATGCTCACTTCCCATCTGTCTTGGCTGCTGTATGTGTATTTATGCATATCTCAGCATTTTATGAACCATGATTGTGTTCAGACAGTCCCAAGAAACACAAAAAAATAATTTGCTAACCACTTTGTCCTCCTGTTGCAATTCCATGAGAGCAGGAATGCAGCAGAAAGAAATAAAGAGGGGAGACAGATTAGAGGGGAGAGGGGGCAGGAAAGATGGGGGAGAGAGAGAGAGAGATTGTGAGTGGCATTAGTAGGTCCTCGTAGCACTGTCACATACTCGATCAGCACATTTTTGAACGGCATCAAATAAAAACACACATTTAAAAGGCCTAAAAGCTTTAGCATAGTCTTGTACAGTGGTTAGCTGGGCATCGAAGTGCCACATTATACGAGAGCAGTCATCGGGCTCCTCTATGAGATAAGAAAAAGGAGGGACAGCTCCCTCGAGTGGTCAAATGGAAGAGCTGTACGTTAACGTGTAAACGTCTATAGCTGTGAATGAACACATCAGAGAAAGAAGAATTATAAACGAAGGCATGTGACTGGAGTACACGATCATGATCTGAAAAACATTAGTTGCCATTAGAGACACTGCTGGCTCAATCGCCGTGACTATGATTTTACAGCAAACTTTCATAACCTTGTATTAAATACAAACATATGAAAAACAAAACAAAAAAACCCACATTGCCTGGGTGGGGCATCAGCACATGTGGGAGTGTGTGTCTTTAATACCAACCACGGCATTACCTTATTTGACCGCAGAGACACTCGTCCTCCGCACCGAGCACAGAATTTCGTTTGGCAATATGAACAGAGGTGGCCACAGCCATCGGCAAACTTGGTTTTGTGGCAGATCCCGCAGGTTGGGGCTTCGCTCTTCTGGTCCTGACCCTGCTTTGTCTCCTCCCCCATCTTCTTAACCTGGTCCTTATATGACTCAAACTGCTGGTGCAATTTTCTGCAAGCAAATGGGAAGGGCAGAGGTTAATAAAAAAAAAAGGAGATACGGATTGGTGACCAATTAAAAAATTGAACATCGGTATATCATTGATTTTTTTTTACTCATACAGCCTTTTTTTTGTACTCCAGAAGTGCTATGTCTTATTCAGGATGAGTGGGAAAAAATGCTACAAACAAACTATTATTATGGATTAGATAAGTCTGAATGATCAATCTTGACATAGAGTATATATAACAAAGGCCGTAAGTATCGCACTGTTAGAGTGTCCAGTGCACACTTGTGGCAGTGTGGGAGACTCGTTTCACACTGGAATTATCCTTGTTGGATGACTCGTGGCTTGAGTCCTTTTCTCCAAATCACACTTCCACAAAAAGCTTCTGCTGTCAGCTGACTAAGTGATATACCCTCAGACGTATGCAGTGTGTTAGATTTTGAAAGGAAAAGCAGACGCCATGACCTCAGTAGCTTCAAAGCTGAGCTCCTCCTTTGATATCGCGCTTCGCCTAAAACACGGTGGGGGTGGGTATCAAATTTGCTTTGCAACTTTAAGAACATCACTTAATTCCACTTTCTCAGGTTCCATTGCGTTTAATGAATCATTTGCACCTGTGTTTCTATATCAGGACCGTTGTAAGGTGAGACCGAGCACACCTCGGAGCCATACTGTTAGATAATCATCTTCCAGATACACACAGTTATTACTGCTCTGGTGTATTATGCTCAGGCAATCATTTGTCATTGCTACTGCCTCTATTGTGTTACTCCTTGTGTCCTATAGATGGCCTCCTACTGGTACATTACATCTGATCTTATACAGTGGCTGCTTAACTCCTAACAAGTCCTCAGAGGCTCCTAAAAAAGCACGGGCTCTTCACATGCATTTTGTATGACACATGTCAATTGAGCGTCTCCTTGGAAACTAAACACTGGGCTGACTTCATAATATGGCGATTAGAATTGGTTTCAGCCCACATATCCCCTGCAACATTCATTAGCGCTTGTGAATTATTGAGCAGAGCTATCCTTTTACCACATACAGCTCTGCATTTGAGATAAACGTGTTTCCTTTGCTCACAACTAGACCTTTAGAGCCCAAACGTAAGGTCCACACACGCCACTTCGAGTCTATGTGTGGGTGTGTGGTAATGTGCACAAGTAACTGTGCCATCTGAACATTAGATCGAGTGCCACAGGCATGCCCCACGTTGTACCCACCGAGGGATTAAAGGGCTAATTGTGTCAGAGCCTTTTGTGTTTACCAGCAGAGATTAGTGTGTACCCTTGTTTAACAGATCCCACCAAATCTCATTTACTGACAGAGGGGCTGATAACAGATTGATCAAGAATATGATACAAGAGGTAAAGACTAGTCTCCCAGGATAAAGGAAATAAGAGTACAAACAATTGTGTTTTTTCTCACTTATCTCCCCTTACAGTCAAGCATTTAGAGAAATATGCGCCAGACAAGGTCACTTACACAGACCACTTCTAACAGTCACTCAAACCTTTTTGGTGGGACAAAAAAAGAGTTGCTGATGCAAATCTGTCACTAAAACAAATAACACATAGCAAGAATAACCTGTTTAAGCAGGGTAAAGCGTATACTGCATACAAAGTCAAGGTCATAAAGAGTAATGCAACTTTCATAAGTTTGCCTCTCTACACCAGAACAGTGAAGACATTTAGCTTTAAACCAAGAGTTATCCAAAATATAGCATTATCTGTTATGACTTACAGTTGATTAATGACCTGTTTCATTGCCAGGTGTGCAATCGTGTTCAGGGCAGATTAAGGAGAGTAAAGTTCTATGTGGTCCAAAGATGCGGCAATTCAATTGAACAAGGTCACTGTAAGGTGTAAAAAACAAGCAGTCCTAGGAGAGGCCAGGTCAGCATTCTGGTACGTTCCTTGGAAACAAGGAATGGACTGAGGAGACTAAGTAACATCAAGAAACAAGATAAGTTAAGAGCAATTAAAATTTATGTGATAGCCAATACAAAGAGTCTGTAACCTGCTGTGAGCCCAACTGAGCATGTGTTGTATTTACTTAACACAAAACTAAAGCCAAACTAGCAGTAACTGATGGTGGCTGTAAAACAGACTTCAGAGTCCATCACTGCAAATGACTTGCATCCAAGTATTAAAGATATTTTAGATGGTAGTAATTATATTTGTCAAATAACTTTGAACCTTTAAAAACTGGAATCACTATGTCTAGACTTGGTGGTAACTAACAACTTGTAAATGCAATATTATGATTCCTTAAATCAAAGCTGAAAGTCTATACTTTAATTAGAAGTTGATAACTTTAGTCAAAATCAAATACAGTGGTGTAGAAGGGAACAATTAGGAGTTTACTGTCAGTGTCCAAATGCATCTTGCTGTATAAATGAAATATCCCAAAAGTAAAGAGACAACTATCCCAGACTAATCAAATGCAGGAAATAAGTTACTGAGTAAAACAGAATAAATGTACAGTCAGAGTAGAATCCCATGGCAGCCAACAGCTGGTACACAGTACCCATTCTTGCTTATCCAGTCAGACTCGGTCAAATATAGGTGATGCTGCTGACGAGTAATCATACGCTACTCATTGTCCCATCCCAAGCTAGCGTGTCGGAGCTCTCTTACCTCTCTGCCACACCAGAGCAGCTATAAGCAGCCGTAACACGAAACTCTCGCTTGGACGTATGACAGAGTCTGCATATCAACACCAAGCCTGAGCTACAAGCTCTCTACAGGGCTTGGGATTCCTCTTTTGTCACACACCACTGGAGCTGAATCCTAACTTCCTGGTGTCTTTATTATGCCATGCTGACCCTAAAACATCAGCAGCGAGTCTATTAATTGATTTATTGATTACTGATTAATTGATTGATTTCTACAAGATGAAGCAACTTACTGGGTGCAAATCAGATTGTCCAAATATCACAATTCTGTCTTGAGTTTGACTTTAAACTCTAGTTTAATTGCTTTATTGGCAGAAGAAGAATTGAGCTGACAAGTCTGCAGTGTCAGATTTTCACAAACTTTGTTACAGCTAAATAATCTAGACAGCAGTCCCACTACGTGCAGCATACAAACTCTGCTTTGGTTTGTTTTTTATTCATTTCAATAGCATGCTTGATACTCTGGTATGCAAGCTAATTGCACACAGCAATGTTTATCACATTGTTGTGTGGTTGCTGCTTCTGACAGTAAGTCTTATAAGAACCCATGGTTGAAACTTTGATGACATCTCCCTGATCAAACATCTCGCTGTACAACTGCAAAAATAAAACCACAGACAGACCATTTTGATGCTGTGTCCAAATAGAATAGAACATATATGTCTAACAACTGTCTAATCTGTTGAATGGTAAACTTAAGGCATCAGACTGTTTCTATTGCCCCTCTGGCCCATTGTCACGATTATCAACCCAAACTTTTTTCTTGTGTGATGAGCACACAACCCTGATATCATCAGTTTGAGTCTTCACTAATCAATAAAGACATACCAGAAATGGTAGAAAACATTTCTTGAACACAAACATTCTCTTGCTGGAAAGTTTAAAAATGACGTCCAGCCAATGTTGAAGAAGTACGCGGTAACATCTGCCACGTCAGTTCAGCTTTCATTTGGGAACTTATTTGACCGTCAACAAAAAAACGTCAGCTGATGGTTATTCAACATTAAAATGTTTGTTGGGAGCACTACCACCACATCATATAAAGTAGCAAAGCTTTGTTCAAGCTAAAACAAGCAAAATGCTCCAGAAGGCACACAGATGTAGTATATTATATTACGAATATTATTTCTTGCACATTAACACTCATTGATTTAAGTGTAAAACTGTGATTATTGCCTTGGTGTCATACTTAATAAGCTGAAACAGTGTGGAAGGACGTAGAGATCTACACTGTTTCAGCCATCAGGAGGAGGATCCATTAGCAAGGTAATGCTAGCTAGCAGCAGTTAACACCATCATATTTTTTACAGGCAGTAAAGTCACATTTGTGGGGATGTTTGGTGGTTACGTTTTCTACAAATGTTATCTTCATTTATTATCACCTTCATAGAAGAAATTAACATGAGTGCTGAGAATCTCAATAGTTTGCAAATGTTCACAAAATGCACTAGCTAGCATGACAATAGTGATAAACAATTCAAAAGATTTCAACTGAGTACACCACATGTCCCTGTACCCTATTGAAATTCAGAGAAATGAGTAATAAGTCTGAATTCTACAATGTTAAACAATCTGAATTTAGACACGGAGCAACTATCTCAACCTCCCAACTTTGACCTTATCGTAGTTTGGTGGAGCTAGCAGCTGTGAAACTGGTTTCCTGCTCTATATTCTATTCCTCATAAAAACAAATCAAGCTAGCTAAAATGTTTATCTGTGTGGTTGTTAATGAAAGATTCAATTTTAACAGGAATTTAATAAGTGATGGATTTTGGTAGGGAAAGATGTAATAATTATTATAAAATAACCTTAAAGTAAACAATGATTTATACAGGATTTAGTATTAGAGTCCTGATCAAAGATTAAGAATACACCGACATATATTATAAGACTAACTCCGCTCTCTGTCTTCTTGATCAGTGACCTGTTACAGCCAATAAATATGTCATTTATTAAAGTTAAATTCATTGTGGCACAACACTTCCACAGCACCCCTCGCCTATGTGCTTAAACCAGCAAACTGAGAAATTTCTAATCATTGTCTCACATCAACCAATGGCCAAACAACCTGTGAATCCAGCTGCTCGGTTCACCCACCACTATATGTCGGTTCCTGCTGGGAGAAGATCAAAAAGGGGTCTGTACTTTTACTTACGCATTTTGCTCTGGCTCCTTGTCATTTGGGGACTTTTGCTGGGGCTGAAGAACGTTATTTACCAGCTCAGTGATCCCACTAAAGGGAAACCACCTGTTCAAATAAGCAAAGTGTGACTGGAACATCGCAATGAGTCATCATGTGAGAAAACAATCTGTTCAGAAAGGGGGCTTTTAGGAAGCAGGCTGGTTCTTAAGTAGTGGGAAAATAGCAGGGACATTCACTATAACCAGAGCAGAGAGGAGGAGGAGGCCGGGACACGGGCAGAGCAGCGATTAGTGGAACACTGACAACCAGACACAGTGTCAGAAATACAGAGAGAAAGATAAAGAAGGAAAGATGACTCAGACAGACCTATATTTGAGGGAAGGACAGAAAAGCAGGAAAGCTCTGCAGCCAATGGAAATGAGAGCTGCAGTAAATGTCACTTATAGCAGCTTTTTGGTGCAGTGGGGGTCAGGTTGTCTGACTGGTTAGCCCTGCAGGTAGATCTAATCACAATGCAGCTATAGTACAGAATAGCAGGACAGGCGGCTCTACTCCACACTAGCAGTTGAACTACTAGACTACCCAGCCAACCAGAGTGCAGATGATACACTGAATGAAGATGAACAGCCAGTTAGATATCAGGAACAAGGGAAAGATTCTGGGGACCTAGCTGCAAAAAAGCTGGAAGAAAGGAGAAGCCGATGTCATTGATGTCATGGAAGTCAGCTGTTTAGTGCACAGCACAAAATTCAACGACCTGATTCACTCATTGAGAAATTATTCATTAAAACGGGCCACTCTTTTCCAAGACATTAATGACTTTTTGTTATTAAACTCCCAGACAAAGAGGAGAAAGCCACATGAAGCACGCAGCATCGACTGACAGGAAGAAGTGTCAAAGCCTAGAGCACACTGGGTAATGCAGTTTACTTACTGTGCCGGCTGAGGCTTTGGTTCTTCGTTGATCCTAAAACATAAAAAAATAAAAAGTGTGCGCAGCTCAGTGCATATCAAACAGAAAGAGATGAGGAAAACAATAAAAGATGGGGGGAAAAAATAAACAATGAGGATGTCATTAAAGATGGGTGTGACATAAATAATTATCCCGCTCTAACAAGAACAATATTTAAAAAATATATTACAGATGATGATTTCATGAAAACAACAATTTAGCTGTGAAAATGGTAATAAAGTAAACAAGAAAACTCACAGGAAGATTTTAAAAATGACGTAATGTAAATAAGTGACGCAGATAACACTTAAATTAAAAATGACCGCTTCATGTGAGTAACACCCTCTTTCATACTGAATCTTCTGCCGTGGACAAACATTCAATTTGATGCTGTGGCTATCTCAAATCCAAATCCGCCTCCCTATTGCACAAAGAGCTTCACTAAGGTGGATCTATAAGTGATAAGACCCCCACCATCATCAACAGCATCAGCTCATCAATTTCCAGAAACACTGGAAAAGATCAACAAACACAAGCTAAAAGTAACCACCAGGGAGTGCGGTCCAGCTGTGTGACACTTGAGCACTGCCTTCAATTACTTGCTGACCAGCACTGTGAGGCAAGGTTGGAAGTAGTAACTAATTCTGTGTAAACATTAGCTACACCAAGTCATCAGCGAGGTTTAACCTACACTGAAAGTTCACAAGGTGTAGTTTGTGGTCTGAAAATCTATAACTAACTAACAAGATTCAGTGGGGAAAAATAACTCATATGGTGTCACAGTATGAGTATTGATATTATTAGAACCTGACCGACCTACTGGTGGGGCCAATGCATTGGCTGATATTACCTATTTACAGATATATCTGTATGTACAATGGCCAATAAATGAAAACAAAACAAAAAAAACAAACAAAAACAAAACACCTTCAACCACATTATGAGTGTTGATGTTGCAGCTCTCCTGATGCCAACATGTGTTTGGAATCCAACGAAAACATAACAACCAGCTGATTCGAGCAGAGCTAGGCAGAAGATTTAATCATCCATAATTGTAGTGACATTAAAAGAGAAAAATCAGCCAGTATGTCAGATTTTTAAATTGCCTCATATTGCTATCGGTATCGTTCTTAAAAATTCTGCTGTCCACATATTGAAATATCCTGAACTATTGAACCCTAAATTGCCCCTGATGCAGCCACTGAAGTGTGTGTCTGATAGAACTTTATACGTAGTAGTACATTAACCATGTAACACAGTTATCATGTTATTTTATTATTTCCCAGACTTCGGGATAAATAACATATAGCTTCGCAACTTCCAGAAAGTTCTTCACTGGAACTACAATATATAAAAGACATAGTCTCAGTGCAAAAAGTTTACAGCGTGTTCTCTGGATTTTCTAGAGTAATTGCAGATTTAAGTGCTATGAGCACGCACCAACAAAATTCAATTTACCTTGCACTGATGTAGTGGAAGAAATCCTCTTATAACTAAGAAAATAAAACCAAACCGTTGCAGAATGCTACGGGAGGGATTTGATTTGTTTTTGGTGTATTCAGCCTTGAAAATAAATTATAAAATGAAGCAGCTTATAATACATGTTTGTGTGGAGCTTTGAAGAAGTCAGCTAGGGGACAAACTGCTGCCATGTCAGCTGATAATTCTAATGAGGTATTTATCAGGCCTACAGTTTGCGTTGGTAAAACTGATACATAGAAATGATCATTTAAATAACTTACTATCAGAACAACTGTACATAAAGTACAGTATATACACTTACTTTGTTGATTAGGCCTGTTTAGCCGAAGCAACTGTCTAATGAGTCCATCACGGTGTAGGAACTCACTGCATTTAAATATGTAGACAGGAAGAACTGCTGAAGTTCAAACTAAAGAAAGTCGAATTAAGTGACTTGAAATTGGCGTTGCTGTTGGTGGCAGATGGGCAGAATTCCAGAATTTGATGATTTGCTGGGAAGCAGCAGCTTTTCTAGGGTTTACAAGGAATCAAATGCAGCATTCGACATGAAAATGCCTCACTGATGAGGGAGAACAATGGTCTGCGTGGTTCAAACACAGATAGAAAGGCAGCTCTAACTTCAACGAGTATTACAACCAAGGCATGAACAACAGCATCTGGAAAACTTTGGGCACATCCAAATTACTGTAAAAACGCTGAATCATTTTGAAACTTTATTTGCTCGGTCTGCTACATATTCAATAACATATTCAGTAGTAGTATATAATACATCATGCTTTTGCAGGTAGTTACAGTTTAACCAGAGCGTCTTGTAAATAAGGGTGGGTATGCGTAGTTTCTTGAACATGACAATAAGCATGGCCTCGACAATAACGATCTGAATCCAGCAGAGCAACTTTTGGAAGTGGTGCAAGTGGAGATCATGTAATGAAGGTGCTGCCCAAAAATCTGCCAGTATCAATATCATGCCAATCTATTCTGAAGGGGTGCAACTCAATACTAGCATCCATCAGGGCATTCATTTTCTTATCCAACAGGGGCATGAGGGGAGGCTGGAGCCCATCCCAGCTGTCACGGGAAGAGAGGTGGGGTATGCCCTGAACATGTTGTTAGTTTACTATAAGACCAGTAACACTGAGACAAAGAACTGTTCACTCTTACATCCAAACCCACAGCCAATTTAGAATTGCCAATTAACCTAATGAGCATGTCAATCTGTATGTTTAAACAATGCAGATTCAATATCAACTTATTTCCATTACTGAAATCAAAGCAAGAAGCCAGAACTTTTTTTGTCCTGCAGCATATAACATGCATCCCCTCTAATGACCACAGGAGCTCAGAAACAGGACAAATATAGGAGTAACAGCTTGCATACGCAGCATCCCTTAACACGCATTCTCTTCAAATGACGCGCATCTCATATAGTGATATCTCTAGAAGTTCAAAATACATGCAACCAGGACAAAACACCAAAATTACACCGACACAGACACAAACAGCAAGCACCGTGTGACCGTCTTGTGTCTGTACACCATCTATCAGTGGCGCTGCAAGCTCAGCTGCTGTCGCCTGGTTTAGGAGCAAATGTCACTTAAAGCAAAACACAGACATCTGCAGCTGAGAATCACACACCAGACCTCCGCACACCTGATCGCCGCTTATTCTAGTGAGCTGCCGGCTTTATATAGCCGTGTGAAATGGAATGTGTTAATTGGATTTTGTCTGATTCTGACCATCACAGCAACAGTAGCTAATTTGTTGTGTGTGACTGGTCTGATTCCTACATGTAGTGCTGCAAATAATGATTAGTTTCATTACTGGTTCACCTATTTTTTTTTTTTAATGTATTGCTAATAAAATGACCAGGACCTAAGGCAATATGCCCATATAACTATTTTTGTCCAAATCCCAAAAACATTTAGATTACATGCATCCAGTTTTTGTCTGCTTCATCCCATCATCCCAGCTGTCATAGGGCAAGAGGCAAGTTGCCCAGGTATTAGTCGCCAGTCCATTGCAGGGCTAGCACATAGACATGAGCATTCATGCTCTCACCTACGGCCAATTTAGATTGACCACTTAACCTAACATGCATGTCTTTGGACAGTGGCAGAAAGCCAGAATAACTGGGGAGAGCATGCAAGCCCTACACAGATGCTGGCTAGTGGATTCAAACCCAGGATCTTCTTGCTTCAAAGCAAGGCTGCCCACCTTCAAGTTTAACGTGTTAAATAACCTCTGAAACAGTCCCAACTAAAAATAGTAGCCGTAACCCTTACTTTACCCCTTATTAGTGGCAGCCCATAGAAGCCTAGTAATGACACATTAAGCCTGTTAAGCCATATTTGAGAATACCCCATCATTTTAACATCCCATACTTCACATACATACTCAAACTGCCAAAAAGATGCTGAGGCTAAAGCAGAGTCACACAGAGCATCAGAACGGAGCACTGAAGCCTCACAACAGTCTGGTTTAGCAAGAGGTAGAGCACAGCAAAAGTGAGAGATCTGTCCATCTGATCTGTGTCGGACGGGTGAGAGAACACACGAGAAAAGATATAGTCCTGTGTACCCATCAGTCTCACTGCTCTGTTTTCCGATGAGCCAGTCCATATTTATCCTCTCGCTGTGTTCTCCCGATGACCTGCAGCGCCGTTCCTTATTGATCCCATCAGCACCGTCTCTGTGGTCGCATTACAAGCCTCATATTTATCTGATCGAGCCTGCTGCCTGCCTGCCTGCCTGCCTGGACAGCTGCCGGGCGCTGTGTGTGTGTGTGTGTGTGTGTGTGTGTGTGTGTGTGAGAGTGTGTGTGTGTGTGTGAGTGAGAGAGAGAGAGAGAGAGAGAGAGAGAGAGAGCGCATCTGACTATGCATTTATGCACACCATATCAACATGTGTGCGTGTGTGTGTGTGAGTGAGTGCTCTGTGTATTATTTGACATGGGGCAGTGAAATGAGTGAGTGTAAAATGTCACAAGTGACGTATTCGGGATCCTGGCTGCTGCGGAGGCCTCCAGGCCAGATGCAGTCTCCTGTTTTCTGTCTGTTTAACCTGCTCTCTGCAATCACATGAGACCATCGCAAGACATAAAAGACAGATGAAAGACACAAATGGTTCAGAGTTTAGAGTAAGTTTGTGCGGGAGTTTTAAAAAGTCACATCCTGCTGTTATCTTTACTCTTATTTGCTCCTGGATTTCAGTTTCCGCTTTTTCTCAGTGGCTTTGAGTCACAATGACTGATGCTGCACTGCTCTCTAGTGGACAGATGTGCTGCATAAGCTTCTAAGAGATAACTTTCTTTTTCCAGAAAACAGCAACACATAGAACTAGCAGCCATCCACAGAGATGCTGGATCCCTGTCTAGTTACAAATTACTGAATGTGTATCCAGATTGGGGCATGGGGCAGTGCCCATCTTGCCTGATGCTCCCAGATCGTTAATCTTAAAATGCCAAAACCACTGACAGCGAGTGTGGATGTGACCAATGATGGACTCTAACAGAGTACATTTACTCTAGTGCTTTAC